GGCACCTTAAAGGAGAAGTATGAGGTCGGGTCTTTTCCCCATAGTTCTCCTCAGGGTAACGGGAGGACACAAACCAGCGTCCTCCTGTCACCCTAAGCTCAGTATATAGGGAGCTACAGCTCGCGGTATACTGAGACGCCGCAGCGGATCCCGACGTAGATGACGGGATCCACCCAGCTGCGTGAGTGACAGCTGGCTCCTCCTATCTAGAGGCAGAGCCAGCTGTACCCGCCCCCCTCCCCCGTCCGTTCCGCCAGTCAGCGCTGGAGGATCGGCGCGGGGAGAGGGGAATCCAGCCACTCCCGTCAGGGCAGAGAGCCGTGACAAGATCGAGAGGTGAGCGAACGCCGGTATGTGTTCGCTCACCTCCCGATCTACTGAGCCGACGTGTGACAGTCTCATTGTCACAGGTCGGCTAGAACTATGAGGTGAGTGAAAAGCCCCTCCCCCCCCCATAGTTCTCCTTTAAGGCTGCGCATACACCTTGCGATCATCGGACTAAACTTTTCGTCCGATAATCAGACCGTCGTACGATTTTCGTGCAGCGGCCCCGATTAATCGCAAGGTTGGATCAGCGGTAATTAAAAGAAAGCACCCGGAGGAATTGCGGTAATCGACCGCGCGTATTTTCGTATTGTGTTTGTATTTGCGCATGTGCAGTGTAAAATCGTACTAATTTTGGACGTACGGAAACGCCACCAACCCTGCGAAAAGCGTACGATCGGCCGAAGTTTTCTAACCTGCTGGTTAGTCAAAAGTCGATGGATTGTACGGTATTTTGCGGTGGTAGACCGCCCATCGACCTCACCAATATCGGACGAAAACGCCATTGCACGCGAAAATCGGCCGATGATCGTCAGGTGCACGGGCGGCTTTACAGGAGCAGTAAACACCTGACAGACGTTCTAATCTTCCCCACTGCATCCACAACTAAGACAATAAGCTTTAGCTGGACATACACTTTAATACAAATTGTTCTTTGTTACATTTGCTGTTTTTTGGGGGGTTTTCTTGGCGGCCATATACGGTATCTGACGATAAATGCGGCCAAACAAACCCGGCAGAAAAACCGCTCAGCGCTGAAGTTCAGCATTAGCGTCTTAAGCGGGTTCTAAGCCGTTTCCGGACACATAATCACAGTCACA